CTCAGCAGTGCTCTCCAGGCACCATCTGTTCTCTTTGGCCAGTCACGGGCTCCTGCCTGGCTTTCCTCTCTGCCTGCTTTCTTCCTGACCTTCCTTCCTGCTGTATGGAAACATAATTTTGGAAAATGTGCTAGATCAGAGCCTGCATAACCACTAGCGCCTATCAGTGGCATCCTCACTTGGTCCTTCTCATCCTCTGCTCTCTCTCGCACTCATTTGTTGCATCTAGTTCAAAACCAAATCCTCAGCTCCTCAGAACAGAGCCCTTGCCTTCCAGCTGCCTTTAGCACCAAGCACAACGTCTCCTGCCTCTGGTATTGCTCAGCGCCGAAGCTGTACAAAGAAATAAGAGTAATTCTGAATTACACAGTTGAAGTTCTCATCTAATATAATTTAAACAGTAGTCACAAGCGGTTGTACTGGTTGTAATTCATGTAATAATTTACGACTGCTAGTTTTTAACTATTGTGTAATTTGGATTTACTTGCGGTTCTCATGAGATAAGGTATATTATTGAACAAGAAAGGAATAAACTATATTCAGAGTAGCCTGTGGGGTGTTATGATTTAAAGGAGAGCTGGTGAAATACTACTACTGTTAATGAATGCACAACTCAGATTGGTGATTTAATTTTTAGGTCATATTTCTCTGGTACCATCAGGTATAGCAGACTTCATACATGAAAACTGAATAAGATGGTATATATGATGGCCAGTCATGCTAAAAATGAACAATAATAAAAAATTCCTTTCCTTTATTCATTTGCAGTTATTTCTTTTAATGACATAACATTCAAAGAGCATTATTAAAAGGGCACAACCATATTTCCTCGTACTAGTTTTGAACCCATGGTTGTAACCTCTGAGACAGCTTGATATTTATCCAAAGCTACAGACTGTCACTGTATTTAAGCCATGACTACAGCATCATTTTTTCATCTGGCCAGGAGCTTTCTTGAAATAGTCACCATTTCCTTCCTCAGGCAAGGTGGCAGATTGGTGATATTTTAAACTGTCTCTTGGCTGAAAGACAAGTCCCAAATTCTTTATTTTTGCAAGCAGACCTGGCTGCTGTAAGCAAGACCTATTCCTTCAGGGTCCACACCCCTGAATAGTTGTCAGAACTAACATTATGCAGCGACTTCTACTTTTACTAAATATGGAATTTTTGTGTCCATTTTTTTTTATATTGGCATGTTAATTTTAAGCTTTTTCTGTCATCCTTTTTCTGAAATGTGTACATATGTCCAACTTTTTAAGAATCCACATTTTACAGTAGACTGCATTTTAAATCGTACAGCCATATCTGCAAATCAAATCTGAAAAGTCTCTGAAAATACACAAAGAAAAGAAGATGCAATCAAAAGAAATTGTGCCTGGCCTTTTAGGTTGTACACCTGCTATTTTAATATTTTTTTTTAATCTCTTACAACTGGAGTATCACTTCTTAAATGAATTTGAACAACTTGCCCAAGAGACATTCTAATCCGATCGTGTATTATGATGATACCAGTTGGATGTTATCCTATTAGGCACTCACTGTAAATAAGGGATTTTCCACTGACTTTTAAATCCTTGATTAATGAGAATGCTTGAAGCAGTGTCCTGTAAATTAGCCATAGTGCTAGCAACAATGGCAATTCACTTAGGAGAACTGATTTGTTTTAAATCTTCCTATCCGAATTAAAAAGCATGAGGAAAAGATAATGTGCGGTAAGTAAAACATATTACTCTATCCTGCATTATTGATCTGCACCCTGTGGCTGTCTGACACCCTTAGGTCTAAATCCTTTTCTCTCTTCAGGTAAATTCCTGTCAGTCAGAGCTCTTATGGAGACAGAACTCCAGCAACTGGCCCTTAGTATTTAATTTACATATTCTTTATATTCTCTAGTGTTTTAGCTAATTCTAAATCCCATTTTAAATTCTGTTAACCAGACCAATGGCTTTCGTTTGTAGTTTGGTCGCTGCCATCTCACTTTCTTTCACAACTCCTTTGCCTTTTTTTTCTGTTAAAAATATGTAAGAGTGGCAACAAAAAGGTATTTGGGTTTGGGGAAAGGGGAGAATAGGGGCAAGTTGTGACACGTCTGTTAACTGCTACTTAAACTGAAATTCTTCCTGACATATTTTTCTGAAGAAAAACACTTTTCAGACCATCTTATCACTTCACTTCTTATTCAACTACTGATATTTGATTTATTGCTTGCAAGAAAATTAGTTTTATACCGAGTATTGACTTTGAAACATACATTACTTCCTTTAATATTCTGAGACATTAACGAGGTCTTTCTTGATGTGCTATATTCACATTTATTTAAGGTGCTATTCATTTCTGTACCCATAATATACATGCACTTTTATCATTCAAGAACATCCCTTTCTTCTTGTAGAAGTATGAATACTCTTTCTGTAGATTGGAATTAGTGTCACTTTATAAAGACAGTTTTGACACTCTCTTATGAGTAACTGAGCAAAGTATCTCTCAGACATTAAGATACTTAAAGTGTATTATTTTTCCAGTAATTTTGAATTTCCAGAATTTTGAATGTACTGCAAACCGTACAAAAAAAGTAGAGTTACTTACAGTCTTACCATGCTATCCTATATCAAGAATAATCAGAGACACTGCAATAATTCTATAAATCTGTCTGATCCTTTCTTTTCAGGTCACTCAAATTACAAGGGTGACTCAACCATGCATGTACCAAAGCACCCTTAAACAACATTCCAGTTAGACCAGTAGATCTCACGGATCATCATTTCATGCTATTGTGTATGCATGTGATCCTCTCTGGTTGTAACCTCTGAGTTTGATGGTATTTGTGTAGAGTTTCTCAGTGATCAATTGGTAAATGTTCGGAATTCTGGTTGCAGGTCATAAAAGTATAGTCTTTTCCAGTGTTGTGGGTAGAAGGAAAAATATGACAGTGTGGCTTCACTGACCAAATTGAAACTGTTTGGGAGATGCTTTATGTACTTATTAGTACTTTCCTATACTTAATAGTTGTGGGGTTTATGTATTCTTTTATATGCAGGCTTTATTGGTTACTCGGTTAATTTTTTCATTATACTTATCTGTGATTCTAAAGAAAAACATAAGTACTTTTCCAGGAGACTAAGGTATTGGTTTTCAATCTTAAATGGTTGTAATCTAGGGAAGAGAAATGGACGTTAGAAATTGAGGAGGATGTTTGCAGCTGTTTTTTCTTATAACTTAGTTTTTCTACATGGTAGAAAGAATGGACAACTAGAATGCTTTTTTCATGTCTTTTCAAATTCTGCAAATCTGCCAGCTAATTTTGGCAGCAGTACAGATTTACAGAGTTGTTTCCCCCAGCTACAAATTTTCTCAGCTATAAGGAAAGATAATTTTTGTGATTATGGCATCTAAATGTAGCTATTGTCTATGGCCTTTTTTGGTTACCTTCAGCAAGTTACTTCATTCTCTTATGTCCCAGTCTTCTGCCTCTAAAATATATTACTATTATAATAGGCTTTTCTTTGTTATGTCTCACATATTAATGAATGTATTCCTGTATCACTTTCCTACTTCACAGAAATGCTGAGAGCATATATTCATTAATATTCTTGAAGCGTGACAAAGTAAAGCCTATTACTGTAATATGCTTTGCTTTAAAACTCCAGTTAGAATAATAATGATAAACAACATTGGTTAGCCTTTGGCCCTCCTGCACAGAAATAAATTTTTTACATGTTCATATTTAAATTGATGAAGGAAAACTTTCATGTGTTTTATGTCGCTCCTCTATACTCAGGGAGAGATAAAGAAAAAAAACTTCACATTCATTGAAATGGGCTGTATCTCCTCGTTGATATGTATATCATATAGGAATCCAAGAATGGCTTTTTGCCTGCTGTGTCCTTAGCCTCTTGTTTCAATGTGATGTAGTATTTTATTCTCTTCCTGTATTTCCTTTGGTGAGGTGAACAGGAGCTTGAAACGGACAGTTATGAAATGTCTTGCCCATAGGAAAAGCTTCTTCTTAACTTCATTAGTGATGTCTTGAGAAACAACCAAGTGCATGACAGTTTATATTTCCCTAGTATTATTTCCCTGAATAACTCTAGATATTCTTATTGCATTTCCCAATGACTGTTCCCAGAGGTGGCTTGAAAAGGTATTTCATTTTTTCAGGTTCAGATTGATTGCCTCAGTGTTTCATTAAATATCTCCTTGTTCTTGCACTGTAAGAAGCAGTAGATAGGAATTCCACAATTTCTTTTATGGTGTGTTGTATCATACATCCCCTGTTTTGTCTCCTTTTTCTTGATTTATTTGATTTCTTTATGCAAAGAACTATCCAAATGCATTTTGGGCAGATGTTCCTAGAACCCTTTGGACCTAAACATAGCAGTTGGGCAATACTTCACTTATTTAAGAAAAGAAGATATTCTCACATATTTAAGAAAATAACGTTATAATTTTTACACTGTATACATTTATTATTGTTTTCTTTCCTTGACTTTCTTTCCATTAAATAGTTTTCAACTCAATAAGAGACATGTTTTCTTCTTTTCCTTTTTTTGGCTCTACATCTGAGAAAGGAAGTGCAATTAATGGAGAAAGCATCACTACATTTGTAAGAGTTGCAGGCATTTTTAACAGTTGCAGGCAGTTCATTATTTTGACTTGTTTTTTAATGCCCTCAGTGTTTTCAGTAATATCACAGTAGAGATTTTGGAGATAAAGAGGGAAGACCAACAGCCCCAATATACATATTTGTCCTTCTACTTTCTGTTCCTATTACAAAAAAATATGAAAACATTTAAGTGCCTACACTGGATATCTAACACAATTCTAAAAACTGACAAGTGCAAATTGAAAAGCAAAGTCCCATTAATACAGAGCTGGAGAGTGTCACCGTGCCATTACACGTTAATTCTGGAACGCTCTGGGCCTTGCATAATCCGAGCAAGAGTGTTACAACATGTTCAGTCAATTCAAGTATATCTATTTGACTTTTGTTTTCTTTGCAGACTACAGATGACATCCTGGTGGCCTCGGCTGAATGTCCTAGCGATGATGAGGACATCGATCCCTGTGAGCCGAGCTCAGGTGGGTTAGGTTAGTCAACTTTTTTATTACTTTCTTTTATTTCATATTTGCATGCTCCGGTCCCCCAGGGTGCCATCTAGCGGGACAGTCCTTTCTTACACAGCAAAGAGAGGGTGAATTGGGGCCTTTCTACACATGGCAGAGAGGGAGAGTTTGCTATCCATTTCTCAAAGACAACAGATGGGAGCACACTAATAAGTCATGATCTGAGCGAGGTTATGGCTTGATTAAGGACCTGAGGATGAACTGGGAAGGGCATTCTAGGGCTCCTGCAACTATGTTGTAGTGATAAAGAGGGTACACCTTCACTTAGAGAAAGATGGTGCAATTGTTTGTGCTTTAAGCATTTCCCCCAAATGAGATAAAAGTACCATATTTAAAATATTGTGTTATGTCATAGAATCATAGAATGACCTGGGTTGAAAGGGACCTTAAAGATTATCTAGTTCCAACTGCTCTGCCATGGACAGGGACACCTTTTTACTAGAACAGGTTTCTCAGAGCTCTATCTAACCAGGCCTTAAACACTTCCAGAGGAATTTGGGGGAAGTTATGGGCAATCCATAACTTCTCTGGACAACCTGTTCCAGGGCCTCACCACCCTCACAGTAAAGAATTTTTTTCCTAATATCTAATCTAAATCTACTTTCTTTCAGTATGAATCCATTCCCTCTTGTCCTATGACTACATGCTCTTGTGAAAAGTCTCTCTACATCTTTCTTATAGGCTCCCTTTAAATACTGGAAGGTAGAGTTGAGTTCATGTTGAATTACTGTTTGTGGTATGAAATACTGTATAGGTAGATAAAACCTGAAGACATAGAATACAACAGTCTCAAATTTCAAATTGTTTTATGGCTTTTTTCCAGGCCAAAACTATTCAGAGTGTATGTGTTAGTTCTGATTAGAAACAAAATATTTTGACATTCTAGTATTTTCCATGGAAGAAAAGCTTTGTGGTGTTTTGGCCATGTCTTTCTTACTCCCACTGAATAGCGGAGATTCTTCTCTGTGATATAATGGAATGGTTTGGGTTGGAAGGATCCTTTAATTGTCATCTGGTTCCAAACCCCCTGCCATGGGCAGGGACACCTTCCACTAAATCAGGTTGCTCAAAGCCCCATCCAATCTGGCCTTGAACACTTCCAAGGATGGGACATTCATAACTTTTGTGGGCAACCTGTTCCAGAAGGTTCAATTATATTCAGTTATGGTCAATTAAACACTACATACCTTCTCAAAAAATCTGAACATTTATCATGGAGGTGAAAGGACTGCAAAACTTCCTAATATCAGTCTGAAGAGTTATGTTACTCTGTAATCTTCAAAAAAATCCCAGATAGTCCAATGGATTACTCCTACTTTCTTTGTTAGCTTGGTTTAGCTTTTACATTTCCCGAGTGAACAGCTCGTAGTATCATAAAGATATATCTCAGTTTTTCTTATTTCCTTGAATTCTGTGCTATTTAGTAGCACATTAGTTGTTTTAGATAATTTGGTAATCTTTGGTAATTGCTATAACACTTATTAGTAGAAAAATTAAGATCTGTTACTGTTGTTCAGTAACATACTTAATTCAAGTAGAAATCAATTTAATTCACGAATAGTATATTAATGCAAAATCGTGACTAAGAGCCGTCTTAGTACAACACCAAAATCTGGGGCAGTCTACATAGCCTTAAGACAGATGAAATTTTGCTTAAAATGTAAATGTGTGGTTCCTTTTTCAAGTCACATAGCCTGATACATGCAAGAATTATTTACTTAAACTGAAGTAAAAGCAGAGACATTTATGACTTGTCTCAGTGTCTGATGGACCTGTGGGATGGCATCTGAGCTCTTCCAGGAATGAAGATATTTACAGATGTGATGACAATGCTTTGGGATTGGTTTCTTTTGCTTTCCAGTAAACAGATTTCAGAGTAATTTTCAAAATGCCATGTCATGGGAATGATCATTCTTAAAACTGAGCAGCAGTGGGTACACTCACCTTAGACAGTGTTCTATCTCTCAGGAAGACATTTCACTTGCACTAAGTCTCAGACATCATGATCAAGATATTCAGGAATTGTGATAAGAATTCTTTTTTTCCTTTTTTTTTTTTTTTATCCTTGGGATTAATTTCCAGGATATATTTTTCTGTTCTTTCATTCTCATTTACAAATTCTTGAGTTTAATAAGACTGTCCTGTCCAGTATGAGCCACTGCAGTAGCTCATATGGCTCTGAGCTCATTCATGCCAGTTGCTTCCTTCCCTTAGTTAATTCAGCCAGTGCTGTTCAGTAGATAAACTGCCATTTAATTTCTTTGATTTTATTTTATTTTATAAGGTAATTGAAAGCCGTATATTGGTTACCTGGCACTAAATAATTTCCCAAATCCTCTGAGAATGCATCTTTTGTATTAAAGATGTATTTGTAATTTCTCAGCCTTACAGCTCACTGAAACTAATGACATTTCAGAATAATTCTTCTCTGAGGTTGTTTCAGATTTGGGGCTGCAGTGCTTGGTAGTCCTGAGCCATGCACAGTCATTTAGCTGGTGGGTGCCGGAGTGGGAGGGGTGAAATAAAGCTTTCTGACAGGTTATCGTTTCTGTCCAAGCCATGGTTCAGGTGAGGAATGTGAATGTTAGTCTTCCAGCAAAACATTGCCATTAGCTTTACATCCTAGTGTTTAGCTTTCCTGTTTTAGCTTATCATTCATCACCCAGCTACACTTCTCATTTTTGTTTATTTGAGAATGGTTTTACTGTTTCATTTTTTGGATCCCAACTGCTACTGCTTTTTTTAAAAAGTGTGGATTGGCACAGGAATTATGTTCTGCATAATCCCAATTGTCTGGATCTTTTTATGTGTCATTCTTCTCATCAAAATGTCACTCATCCTCCCACTCTCAAACTTTTAAAAGCTGTTAATTTGCCTTCATCAGCCTTGTCCTTTTATCATATATGAAACAGCCTGAACCAAAGGGGTTACTGAAGTCTTAACTTCTAGTATATCTGTTTCTCTGTAAGCTGTTATGGTCTTAGTCACTTAGTGTTATGAATGACCTTTCATCATGAATATTTGGGTAGACACTGCTCCATCTTGATAATACTGCAGCCTCCATGTGGGTTTGAGCTACTCCTAGCAGTATGTTGGAACTTAAAGGAGAGAAGGATAATATTGCTAGGAGTGAGAAACTAATGATTTTTTTTTCTTTTAATTTGGGATAAGAGATACAAAAGGATATGTCCCTCCATTTAAATTCTTCTTGTGGTTCAGTTCAGCTTTTTCCCCTTAACCCTTTTTTGCAAACCAGAGTTGCTTCTCCACAGCTACTCCTCAACGCCCCCACTAATGGTGGTGAAGATAATGTTTTCTAACAAATAATTCTAGGAAGCTGAATATTTGATGGTTAGGGCAATTTTAGTTTTATGTTTTCACTTCAGAGGCTGTAGTCTGGGATTCTGATGGTCACTCAGAAAGGGAATCCACCCCATGGCAAGAGATGATGCTCTCAGAGCTCTGAGGTCAATGTTTTTCTAGCAAAAATACAATCAAGGAATGGCCAAAGCCCATGCAGTTTTACTGATAGAACCATAATTGAACATTTCCATGATGAGTGCCCATAATATGCCTATTTCTAACCAAAGTTCTCAACTAAAAATGAGAACCTATTCAAAAAGCAGTTTGAATATGGAACGCCTATATATCACAGAAAATGCTGCTTATGTGGATTTTACTAATTAGTGAGATTTATTCATAAAATAGGGCTTCTTTTCTACTACAGTTATGTTGCAGTTTGTAGTGGCTAACAAGTCCCGATCTGCCACCACCAGCTTTGCTTTCTGTGCACCTGTCTTCTAAATAATAAATGGAAAGATGCAATTTGCAACAAATTTCGTATGGGACATAAAAATGTAAACCAGATTAGGAGCTGCTGAGCAGCAAACCCATCATCTTGTCTGGAACATAAAGTCACAAAAATTATAATTGCAGATTTCATTGTGGTATACAAACTGCTAAATGTGCCCTAATTGGATGAAGTCATAACAAATTTATTAGCATGCAAAACTTAGTCAACATATTTTGTTTGCATTATGTTTTGTGTAGTAAGGCAACATGTATTGCTTTCATGGTCTCTCCACCTTCCCCTCTCCTACTCTAAATACTAATAACAGCACAAAGGTTGAGGATGATAATAACAAAACAAAAATAATATGTCCACAAGTTCATATCACAGAAGAAATAATAAAGCCTTTTTATTTTGGAGACAAGTTATGAAAAAGGTTAGTGGGAACCTATCCAAAAAAAAAGGGACCTGGAACAATTTACTGACTTTACATGAAGACTTATAAAACTGCAGGTGGACAATTTGCCATCCTGCACATCCAGACTGCTGTTCCAGCCATTGCTGAGCTCTGTAGAGATGTCTGATTTCTGCTGAGTTTCAGTGAGCATTTGTGCTACACAGCTTATTTGTTCCAGTTACTCTGGGCTGGTATTTTATTTGTTAGCTATTACCTAACCACTTCTGTAGCTATTGAAATGTTCCAAAAGGCAGAGAGGTCCAAACTGGGTCAAATGAAGTAAAATGACTGAATTTAATGGCAGGGAAGTCTCAACCAGGGAAAAAGTCTTACAGTTTTAGGCACACAAACAAACACTTCTTTTTCTGCAAATGACAGTTAAGTCTTTCTCCAGTTTGGGACTCGACAAAGGTTTAAGCTCAAAACTAGGCTGAAAACTTCTCCTAACAGCCCCAGCAGAAATGGGATAGATACAGGTTTTGGCAGTCTTAAAGCTAGAATATAGGGCATTTGCTGGTCTTAGGAGTTTTAGCAGAAGACAACCTTCAAAGTTAAAGAGGGGTCTTACAGAAACAAGCTTTTTTCACATTCAAACAAGTGTCTTTCTACCAATGGAACTTCACATGTTGCAACCAAAAAAATACTTTATCATCCCTTGATTTGCCTGGCAGCTTTTGGTTTCTACTTCCCCAGACAGTGTTTAATTGATATCAGATC